TAGACTCCTCATTTATTCAGCCGGTGGTCTAACCAGCATGTACATTACAAGGGCCATGTAGCAGTAACCCAGATGGCAGGATAGGCTGATTGTGATTTATGTACCAAAAGTGAATGCATTACAGTGAGCTTCTGGAGTCAGTGCCAAATCCAGTGTGAAATTTTCACACGTGTTTTTTAAGACAAACAGTCATAGATGCACAAAATATAAGCTTACTTACATAAAAAGCCTGATGTGCGTGCATCAAGCAATGGCTCAGTTTCTCCGTCTCTCCTTTCTTCAGTCTATGTCTTGCTTTTTATCTCACCCTTTGTCACATACACAAACACGCACGTGAACAAACACACAGCTCCCCTGAAAAATCGTTTCGATGAAGCAGTCCACCATTGTGAGACATTGATTACCGTTTACCAAGCCGGCGCATAAATGTAGTGTTAAAGGAGAGATGGCTTGGATAGATACGAGAAGAGAGGGAGGAAAATGAAAGAGTGCTGGAACTAGAAAGAGAAAAGGGGAGCAGAAGAGGCTGATAGATGGCAGTGATGTGGCACTAAAGATGATCTAGACGAGCGTAAACGTGAGTTTGTTGTTTTTTTTTCTTTTCTCTTCATGCCTGACAGAAAAAGTACCGATTAGACCAACTAATTGATTCATACTTATGATTAGGAACCTAGTTCATAGTGAAAAATCATATAGACAATCTCTGTCTCTCTCTCTATCTAATACCCTCTAATACACACAGACTAATACACAAACACACCCATATACACTATAACACACATATTCACACTCCTCACTGCTCACACCTGCTGTCTTGTTGGCGGTCAGGAACGGTCAGCCCTTAGTCACTTCATTACCCCCTCCGGGCAGGGACTGCATCAACCGTATTACTGCTTGAGCTCTGTGATGGAATCACTAGGTAGAAGGAGACAGAGAGCTTAAGGCCATGGACCGGCTCCATGGTTGATTTTCCAGCGCTGTTTGCAACTGATTTCAAGAAGAGCGTTACAGGCAATACTTTGATCCAGCAATTTTCGAATACTGTGGCTTTTACTCAGGAAACTCAGCTGCTTTTACCTGTGATGAAACAAGTCACTCATACAGTTTTATTTGGTCCACTGTTGAGGCTGTTTTGCAGCAAGCTAGTCAACAATGATTCAACAGTACAGTTTATGCTGTCATCATCATGCCTTATTTTGTGTCCTTCAAGCTAAAAGAAAAAGTATAAACTTTCTGTATAAGCTTGTTTTTGTATAATAAGTAACTCTTGTATAAGAGTTGGATGAGAAGATTGATATTGCTTCCATATGTATATACTCTAAATATAAATCTACAGCCACTGGGCCATATACTTAGCTTAGCATAGTTTGGATTAGCGTAAAGAGTGGACGCATCGGAACGCAGCAAGCCAGGATTAGCAAAAACAAAAGGGACTCAAAATCATTACTAGTTAGTAATAAGTTATGTCCCCATTTTTTAAACTGTAAACACGTGAAAATGATATGTTGTTGTGAGGCTAAAATAACTGCTTTTTCTATCAAAAAGCTAAATGCCTCATGTTTAGCTAACAGCCATAAGAATGATTTAGTATTCCAGTCGAACTCATTTGCAAATAATGTTTATTTTCCTTGCCGCGATTGTCTAATTCTAAGTTTTAATTATTATTTGATCATCTGTTTTTATTTAAACAGATGCTAATTTTGTGCTCCAAAAACAGTATAAACATGCACGTGGAAGTCATGCCTCTATTGTTACTGATAAATTCTGCTAGTTTTGCACAGTTAGACAGACCAAACATTAGCATGTAAACACAAACAAGTGCCGAGCAGTTTTTATGTTCATCTGTTGCATCAGATGGATGCTTTTATTGCTTTATATTGGAAAATGAGTTAAAAAGCATTGCTATTAATTTTTTATAATGTTTTAGCTTAAATGTTTATCTCTCTTTGTGTGTGTATCTATATCTATATCTATATAATTCTATCTATCTATATAATTATCTATATATCTTTGTAAGTACAATAAGTAAGGGTAAAAATCACACCTTAGCAATGCATGTGACTAGTTTCTTCATACAGGGGGCATCTTAAAGCTGTCATCACCAACAAGGGCCTTTGAGCAAAGAACTAAATAAATGTCAGTAAGCGTGTTCAGTGTTTTTCCCCTGTCTCATTTCTCATTAGTACACATAACATAATTTATAGACATCTATGGTTTGTTTTCTTTGCACGTGCAGTTCGGATGGTTGGTGAGAATTTCATGTCAAGCATCTTTAGAAATATATTTACTTTGAAAATTGGTGACATGATGCAAGAAAAAAAATATATATAAGAATTATATACAAGAATTATACAAGCAATGCTCTCCACTGAGAAGTTTTGGATGAAGCAGGTTATATCCTGGACAAGTCACCAGTCTACCGCAGGGCAAGTATTCATGCTCACAGCCAATTTAGAATCACCAGTTGACCTAACAAGCTTATCTTTGAACTGTGGGAGAGAGCCAGAGTACCCAGAGACAACCCACACAGGCACAGGGAGAGCATGCA